TCTTTTAGAGAATAATACACATTAGCACCTCCTGAGTGAAGGAGAAAAACTTTTTGCCTGAGACATAAAATCTTTTTTAATAATAAAATATTGTGCAATATATTCAAAGAGAAGAAAATATGAATGAGAAGTGGGAATCATACCTAGGAAAAAAAGAAAAGAAAAACCCAAATCGAAATCCTATATATGTTGTGTCTGTTACACATGTCCTAGAAGAAATTATGCAGCTAATCAGTGAATAAGCCCAGCTGGAGTATTGCTTTGAAGATGACCCCTTCTGATATTTTCATAGCATATGGGCAGTATCGAAATCAGAGCTTGCTTTTTGGTGACAAAGAGCCTGAAGGAAAGAAGTCAAACCACATCTAAAGAAAAAGGGATTGATAAGTGCAAATGTTTGCGTCCTTCTGTTTTTAAAAGATATGTCAGAATAAAATATGTAAAACATATGGAAAACTAGTCTAGACTTTAAAAAGTTGTGGTCAGGTCACACTGTTATTAAAGGAAAACAGGGATGGGTCCCTCTGTTATAGCCATATCAGTGTTAAGCCATAATGACAAGGCCATTTATCCAATAATTTGGTCTGAGGAAGGTAACTGCTTTTCTTTAAACTCTGGCTATTGGCTTTTTCTGACTGTTCAAGGCAGGGTCGTGGAAGACTAAGGTGAATTCTTACAGGGGCAGGTACGTAGGTGCTATAATATGTAACAGATATCATTCACAAATTGTATAGTGGGCACTTACATAGGGAGAAGAAAGCACATTTTTTAAAAAGATGCTAAATTTTCTAATCTGATCCTTATATTATTGGTATACTTTGGGAGCGGGAGGTGAGTAATAAAAAGGTCCACTACTGGTGATGAAAATTATCAGCTTGTAAAGTAGTAAAAGGAAAAGTAGAATATTTTATATGTGTTTGGGTGAGGGGTAACAGGGTAACTTTCAATAAAGTAGAAACATAAGGCAAATACTTAAATAAGGCAAGATCATGTCAGATCTGAGAGATGATCATTAAACAATGTCCGGTAAGCTGTAAAACTGGATTATGAGTGTCTGCATTCAGAGTGTCCTGAATGTGACATTTTTTGTTATTAGATTGTGGTGTTCTAGCTTTCTTATTATTTAAGGATTGCTTTTAAATTTCCAGACTATGAAAGACTAAAAATAGAGGGAGATTTCGCTCAGCTTCCATTAAAAGCTGTATTTGGAATATGTGTGCCAACATCAGTTTTCCTTTTGTAATACTTAGTGATAGAAGAATCAACTACCAGTCCACAACAGTTTAAGTCCTTCAGAGAAATGGGGAAATAAAATTCCAGGTAAGTAGCAAGGACAAGACTAAAAGACTAGATTTAAAATGGTGGTTTTTGGACATAGGATGTCACAGATTATAGTTTTACAAATGGATTTTTTTTTTAAAGATAAAAAAATGTTTTCTTGAAAATAGTGGGTACAGATAATGTCTAGGGAGAGAAGGAGAAATACCGATGGAACTGCTTTGAAGTAAAGCTTATGTTGAATGGCACTCTGCAGGAAATAACAAAAGCATTATTGTTTAAAATAGACACTTTACCATTAAGAGCCATTAAGTTGACTGATTAACACAGGTGATATAACATGCACTGAAAGATTTTTTATTCCAGAAAATTCCAAATAACGAATGAGCCTTCTCTGTTATTGATTTGTTTTTTTCAGATACTATTTCCAGTGTAGTTAGACTAGGAACTAATAGAATGTCTCTCAGAAGGAATTTTACTTAGAATCTTAGCTATTTTAGACTGAATCTTGGTTCTGTGAATCTGCTTGCCAGAAAGTTCATTCAAACTTCAGGGTTGGTTGGTTTGTTTTTTTTTTAAAGGGAGGTAAACAATATTGATTTAAAATTATTTTCTTCTAGGATTTTAGCAGTTAAGTGTCTTTAAAAAGGATTTTAAAATTATTTTGGTGCTTACATATGATTTTTAATTGTTCCCATGTTTTCCAAATACCTTATTAAAATTTTAATGTAATTAATCTGTCCCATTAAAGCTGACTATAAAAGGAATTTCTTTAAAGCAAAATCTTGCTTTGCCATTGATTTACACTTTAATAGTTGAGAAAGGTTTCTACCTGACACTCCTCAGATAGTCAAAGTCAGGTCAAAGTAGTAAGATTCTGACCAGCCTTTTGGATGGTGAATGATGAAGTATGCCTGCATACTGGGATTTGTTAGGAGTTTCTGACCTCACCAAGTGTTTCTTTTCCATTGCCGAGAACACTGTTCTGACCTACTTATTATGGAGCTTTGGCTTGTGCCTAAGGGACCACCCTCAGTAAGGTACCCAACTTTATTACTTAATCCTCCTTTTTCATTTTATTAGAGTATTCATAATATTTATATATTCCAGCCTAAATATTTTAAAAGTTGAGATTTCCACTTATATGAAATAGGTTTTTTAAAAACTGTGTTTTGTATACTTTGGCCTCTAAAAAGAGATGTGAAATATTTAGGTGAATAATTCTCTGCTGCGGTATTTGTACAGTACAAACTACCTCTTGGGAAAAGCTTAACCCAGTATTGGAATTACAAAATTACTTCTAATTCTCAATTTAGATGATTAATACCACATTTTTCTCACATGTTTTATGATAGCACTGAATTTTCATAGAAAAATTAACTAATGCAAGCAAAGTTTGCAATCTTTAATACAGGCTTAACTTTGGAATTCATAAAGGAATGACTTAAGGTCTAATTTTTTGATGTGATACATAGGGATATTTTATGCATCCTGTCTTTTTATATCCTGAGTTAGTAATTCAAGTACCAGAAAGTAAATAAATTTTGCATATAAATATGCAACTTATCTGCTTCAAAATTTAAAACTTTGAATCTTGAACTTGAGTTCAAGATGCATATTTTTGTTGAAAATTATTTAAACCTGAGCCAGAGGACTTTTAAAATTTCATCATGCCCTTTAACCTAGTAATTATACTTTGGAGTATGTTTGGAGCTCTGTTGTAAGCCTTCTGGAAGCCAAAGTGTGTCACCCTTTGTCAGCACTATCCTAACTAGATCACCATGTGTTCACTACATTATGGTATGATGCCAATATCCAAGTATTTCCTTATTGTAGTTTTCCCCTACTTTTGAAATATTTTTTAGTGATAAAATCACCTTGCATTGTCTTAACCGTAGGAAACAAACTGCTTTGTATTTTTTGGTTTTCTTGTGTTTTTTTGTTTTAAGAGAGAAGAGCATACACAAGACTCATTTAGAGTCTCAATCCTGAACATTTGGACTCTAAATAAATGACAAATATAAATTTCTTTGTCCTTTTACAATCATGTACCCCCAAAAAGCCTCAGTTCCTCATTATTTAAGCTTCTTTTTCCTCATAGGAAAACTATATCAGTCTTTAAATATCACTCTGTTACATTTGCTTTTGCTCCAGATGGAGCTAAATTACTGTATGAGATTGGATTTCTTTTGTATTTTCATATTAAAAAGTGAATGAGTGATGCAAATTGAGCAGTTGACTCAAGTCTATAAAACTGTCAACAGAGTTGAATATAAGATTATAATCAGTGAAACATTTAAAATAGTTTTATCTTAGCAACTCCTAATTGTATTGGATGTTTATCAGAAGGAATTAAATTAACAACTCTTCCAAATATCATAACTCATTTATACTATTTTGTGTAATATTTTTAAGGTAAAACTAAGCAGATATGGGGGAAAGTATACATTGATGAAAGCTACATACTAAAGCAGAATTTCAGCAACAACTGATACTACTATAATACTTTAGAATCTTTCCTGTTTTCAAGCAGTTACGCAAATCAACTTGGTGATTTCTTGTATTAGACTTACCTTTAATTTCTTAAATTGATTGATACAAGTTGCCCAACCTCACATCTCCCCACCTATTTATAGTTCCAGGTTGGAATCAGTATATCAAATAAAGTAGGGACACACCAATGTTTTTTATCTGTGTACCAGAATAGGGGTTTCTAGCTGTTAAAACTCGATTAAGCGTCCTTTGCCATAACTATCTCCACTTCAGGTCACTGCTGTCTCTCAAGCCAATTACATCTTAAAACCAACTAGTTTTATTTCGTTAAATTAAAAAATATATATTTACAAAGTAATCTAAGCAGTGAGCATTTTTCCATACCTCTCTGTGGGCATATGGGACAACCATTACTTTTTACTACAGACAGTTGTTCATGTTCCCAGAATATAATTATTAAATTTGCAGTTCTAAAAAAATAACCCTGTGGAAATTCACATGTGATGCCTGTGAACTTTGAAAATTACTGATGTTTGGAAACTTCAGGCTGACCTACTTTGTTATGTCCATTGTATGATAACACACTATTTGGGTATTAGTCCCTTCTCAGATCAGTTTATCTACCCTGAGATTCTAAATCAGCTGTTTGAATGAGATGTTAACTGGAGGTGATGGTGTTGGGTTAGTATAAAATTAGTTATCTAAGAAATGTTTTTTCTGAGTTGTATGCACATCTGCCTCAACTTTTTCTAGTATTAATTGCTTTAGGTGGTGACTGTTTTTAACTGAAATATTACTGTATCAGGTATGTTGTGGGTAAAGAATATAGGGATTACCAAAACTTCTTTTTAAACATAGATACCTTTTCTTTGTACTTACCGTCCATCCTCTTTTCCCCCAAAACAGAAGGTTCTTCTCATTACATTGTAATTGTATGTATTAGGCATTCAATTAAGTGGTCTTGATATAAAATAATTAGGGATTTTTCTTTCATAACAATACCTATTTTTATTGCTTAATCATCACAGAACTTTGTGTCATTTCTTTAATACCACAGATAAAACATGCTTTAAATGTAACCCTATTAATGGTATCAGAAAACATTTAAGCATTATGTATCTATGTGTTAAAATTTATACTCATCTGGTAGTTTCTTTGGAAAATTCTATCTTTTTTTCTCTGGGGAGGGAGGAGATCTGTAGTAGTTAGCAGTTAAAGATACAACACTAGAAGAGGAAAACATTTTTTTTAATTCAAACTTTCATTTAATCAAAAGTCAAAATGAATACTTGATCAGTGGAATTTATGGAATTGGTGAATAATCAAAAGATAGTAAATTTTTAGAATAATTATGTTTTATCCAGTCTCATTGAATTATAACTTGATTTCATTTTTATCATATCTATAGTTTGTATCTTAATCCGTGTAACTCAGAAGTATCATATAGACATCTCAAACTAAAGATCACCAAGTGCTTTGCTTCAGAGCTGGTTTTTCTGCCCTGGAAAGAAGTTCCCAGACCTTAGATGAGATTGGAAAAGATACTGCCCAGAAGAGCTCCCCCCAGATACCCTTTATGGTGTTCAGAAAAATCTCAAGTAATACCGGACGAGAAGCTGCCCTCAAGCCTTGTGCACTGCAACTACATGCGCAGCTTTCTGAGTATTACTAATTATTCCAGAAAGTGAGCATGCTTATAACTGCCTTCCTTACCAGTTTATGCTTGTGTAATTTTCTAGTAGGTGTGATTATTTTTAGTTACTTAGGTCCCAAATACTATATTTGAATAATATTCCATGTTTTTAACATGAAATGCTGCAATCCAACGTACACTGATCTCTCAAATGCGAGGAAAGTCAGGATAACAGTTATATTATTAATATAGGGATTTGAGAATAAATACAGTTTTTACCCATTAATTCATTGGTATTATACATAAAATATTTTTAAATAAACAACACCTATTCTCTAAACTGACAGTCATTTAGTGAAGTCTATCCTTTTCAGCTGTACATTGTACAGTTAACATTGTGCAAGTGGAATGATCAAGATACTAGCAAGTCCTGGTGATCACAGAAGGGTAATCTTCACCACATTGCAGAAAAAGACTAAATATTTACATTTATATTTAAAATTTTGCTTTCCTCACTGGCAAGGATCAGGGGACTGTTTTTGTTTTTTTTTAAGATTCTAGCCTAGTACCTTCCTCCCATTAGTCACTCTCACCCTGAGGCCTGAGCAAAATAAGCTTAAATAGAAGGGGTTTGGTGACTTCAGTGAACAAAAAGGAAACTCTTGGGAGAAGGTTATCAGGAAAATGGGTGATTCAAAAGATGAGGAAATAATAGTTGTCAGTTTCAAATTATGAGAACTAATTTTACTTATAAGCATAAACAGTCCCAATGCAACTATGTACGTTTGAGCCCTCATTCTGTACATAATTATTTATATCTCATTTTTTTTTTTTTTAGATTTCAGAAGTGGGTGTAGTTGAGGGAAGTGCTAAATGTGAACCCACTTTTCCAATTCCCGCAGCCTTCAATCAAGTCTTCATGGTATAACACAAAAAGGAAGCTGAGATTTCAGTAGAGAATTATTTCTTTTACAGTATTTCTGAGGATGAGAAGATCATTCTTCCTCAACTTAATCTTGATTTTAAACCTTTATACTGGGTACCTCAGAATGATTCCAAGGTTAGAACTGCCTTTTAGCATATTTCAGCTTCTATCATGTGTTCTTCCATGTTCATGGAGTCAAAATTAGTCCTCTCAAGAGAAAAAAACCTAAATATGGACAGATAAATGTACTTTGGTGTTTTATATTCAAGGGCACAGAATGGAGTGTTAGGAAGCAATCTGGAAATAATTTTTCCTAAGATATGTATGATTATAGGCTAGGATATGCTTTCCTTCTCTCACTGAAATAAAAATATATAGGTAAGAAACATGAAGACATGACAACACATTTGACAGGTAATGAGCTTGGGCATATTCTTTGTTACTTCCTAATCTTGAGAACCACAGTTTGCTGTTTTAGAGGTATCCAAAAGGTTCCAGATAAAAGGAGCTTGCCCAGTGTTCTTAGACCTTAAGCGTGCTGGATGCCCTAAAGTAGGAGAGGAATTTATAACAGAAGCTCACAATGAAGAACCAGACATTCCGAGCCATCTGAGATCTTGCAATGAGAAGGCGCCAGGCGATGAGGAGGAGGGCAGTATTAAAGAGGTAGTGAATATTTCGGAGCCTGGGGAACAGACATATAGAATCAAAGTTAAAACAGCACCAAAGACCCAACTGTATTATCTGAAGCCTAAGTGTGTTGTTTCCTGGTTGTGACCAGCAAATTGTTAGGTGCTCACAGGTATGTGGCATGACCTTATGACCTTTTGATTTTTACAGTTCTTATTTCCACAACATGCCTTCTGAATAATCAGATTTCCATAGTATTCCCCTGACTAGTTTCTCTTTCCCATACCTCTCCCTACTTTAACCTATCTTACAAACATGACTAACAATCTTTCTTAAACATACTTTGATCATATTACCATACCACAAATCTTCACTGGTTCTTGCTCAGTAGAAGGTAAGTTCTAAAGTTCTCAGTCTGCTATTCAATGTTCCTCTCTGTTTGCAATTTACTTTTCCAAGCTTATAATCTGTGCATTAAAAACCCTTTGCTTCTAACAGAATTATATCAGACTGTTCTGGTTCTTTGTCCCATATGGAATAATGACTGAAAGAAATTTAAGGCAGTTTAAAGACTTGAAGAATGGTTGATTTGCCCATGTTAAAGAGCACAGTCAGGTTTCCTGCTTGTTAGGTATTCTTTATATCACATTATGACAAGATGTGGTAGAAGAAACAGAGAAACTTGGGTTCAAATCTGGTGCCTCTACTTCCCACGTCTTAACCATGGACAAGTTACTTACCTTCTTTGAGTCTAAATAGTTTTTGGATTAAAAAAAAGAAAAAATGGGATAACAAAATAATACCTCCCTCCTAGGGGTGTGGTGAAATCTAGGTGAAACAGTGTATTACAAGAAGAGAGTATACCAGGAAGGACCTGTAAGGTAGTAAATGCTCGAAAAATGTTAATTCCTCCCTTCACCCGCTCAAATTTCATGTCTGGTATAAAATCAGATACATGTGATAAGTGCTTAATAAATATTAACTGACTGATTATTCTTACCTTTTCAAATGTTGTTTTGCTTCTGGGATCCCAGCCATATCCTCTTTCAATAAGTACTTCTTAACTCCTAAAACATAATTTTCAATGTATTCCAACCAGTTCAACTGGCGCACATCAAAGTTGAATACCTGAAAGGCAAGAAGAGATTATGGATTGCCAGATTTTCATTGCTGGAGACAGTCACCTTGTCCTTTTGATGAAGTTTCTTTTACATAAATGAGTGACATTTGGTTTGAGAGACTTGGTTTGGACCCCTCCAAAGCAGATTATTTGAGCTGTTACTTCAAAGGCATTGACAATATGGGTTGCCATTTACACAGAAATATTTAAACATAGATCAAGCACAAATATTTGACTTTTGGGAAGTCTTGTGAGGGGAAACTTAAAGGAACTGGCATTAGTCTGGTAAAAGCTACTTTCATTTCAAGCAAATGGGGATTAATTATTTTTAAAAGTGATGGAATAACTTTGGTTAGGGACCAAAACAAATTGTGCTTCTTTTCCATTCTTAAATTTTGGTGGTGTTTCCTTGGCCTACCGTCCTTTACTACTTCGTTGTGCAGATTAAGGTAAACTGGATAAGCAAAGCCTTATGGAAAAGTTTAACAGAATTTATATTCTGTATTTGCTTTAGAGATGTTATCTACTATGTGTGCTGTTTTGATGCCCTTCAAAAGCATTTAGAGTTAAGTGGTAAGAGTTAGTGCTTCTCTTGGAACACTAGTGCATTTCCTCCTCTTGGACATAGAATGCCATGAAACTATATTTTCCCTTTCACTTTGCCACCAGAAAGCTCAAAAACAAATTTCCTGCTTAACTGCAGTGACTAGATAGGATCTCGTAGCCTACACATGGATGGACATTTTATTTTTATTTTATTCTATTCTATTTTTCTTATCTTTGACTTCACATTTTAACATTTTCCCTAGTTTGACATTTTATTTCTCTTGTTCTTTTATTATATGTGTTTATTGCAAGTTAAATCTTTGTGAAATTATATGGAGTGTTAACAAAGCAGATGAGATTGAGTTCCAGAGAGCTTCATAGACTTGTCCAACAGCTGAAATGCTTTCCAAAAGTAATTAATCACTTTGGATATGTTTGTTTTCTATAGTAGTACTAAATATTACTTATTCATCTATGTAAGAGGCTTTTATTTTTATACTATTTCACATTTCTAAGTTAGATTTCAGTGAGGCCCTAGTTTGGAATCCTCATTACATAGGGCGAATCAAACTCAATTCTAAGCCAGAGTTTGGCAATTATACCAAATTATTCAGGACTGTTACCTTTGCTAAGATATTTTGAAAGCGTATGTTAAATCCATAGCAGATTTAATTTTTTTTTTCCACAAAATTTTTGGTTATTTTACGTTAAAATAGTAAAATGTCAAAAAACGAAACTCTAAGCTATTACCTTTTGAATTATTTAGATGGATAAATTCCTTGGAGAGAATGCAATAAAAATAAGCGTACATGAGATTTGAAGCTAATTTTAAAAATAATTTACAATAGCTAGAGCTTTTTTTTTTTTAATAAGCTAGTTTGATCATTACACATTTTAAACAAGTGCTTAGAATAATTTTGGCTATACAAGGTATGTAAACATTTCTGAAAATAGCTCTATTTCATGTCAGGTTTAGAGATGCTCAGCAATTATTTCTAAATCTCTAAATCTCACTTGGTGTACTTAATATATTTAATACAACACTTAACGGTGTTTGACTTTGCAAGTGACCCTTAGGTCCCATGACCCTAAGTAATTTTAGGGCTTTATAGTTTTTGGATTTGAATCCTGCTCTGTGAGGCTGGAGTGTAGGAGTAAATCCCTTAACTGGCAAGTGAGGCAAACTATGGCCTTCTAACGTTTCCTTCTCAGTTTGACTTGGTCTCTTCTATATGCTGCCAAGTACTAGATAAATCAAGAAATGCTTTATTCTTTAAAATAAAAAATAGTAGATAATGTCAATCAAGAGAGTGAAAACTTTGAAGTTTAGTTGAAAACTAAGGATATGCTTGGGGAACGCCTGACTCCTCAAGAAGAAAAAAGCTAGGAACATGTACAAAGTATGAAAGATTTCTTTCTTTTTTTTTTTTTTTTAAGATTTTATTTATTTGACAGAGTGAAAGAGCACAAGCAGGGGGAGCAGCACAGGGAGAGGAAGAAGCTGGCCCCCTTCCGAGCAGGGAGCCTGATGCGGGACTCGATCCCAGGACCCTGGGATCATGACCTGAGCCGAAGGCAGATGCTTAACCATCTGAGCCACCCAGGCGCCCAGTATGAAAGATTTCTATATTTGTGGATTTCAGAATATGCAAAGATTTCAGGACCTAATGTCTGCAATTGCCCAGAAGCTAATGTAAAGAAATAAATGGCACTGATGCTCAGCAATTAAAAGTGAAGGCCTGTCTTGAGAAAAGTCTGAATTGTTGAAGATAGGTCATTAGAGGGAGAGGGAGGCTGTCTGTGCTGTCAGTGTGCTAGAGGATGGGAGGGAGGTCTTGGTGGGATGCACATGTGAGGAGGGGTTAGCTTTGGAGATGCAGAATGATTTTGATTTAACAAGAAGAGTGGATGTGTTTATGAGTGGTAAAATTAATGATTTTTTCATTGAAGTCCTATGTTGTGGGGTTAGGGAAAATATAGAGGTTTGTTGAAAACAGCCACCAAGGGCAAACAGGGATTGAAGCAAAGTATGTGAAATGTGACTGCAGGATAGCAGTGAGGATCTAATCAAAGTCAAGAACTCAGGTCTCTTACATTAACTTATGTCCTGCAATTGTGTCAATAGCATGGACAGATTTTCTTAGGGCCCCCCCCCAAAAAAGATTGTGTATATAACTAAAACTTCCTTTATTCATCAGCTTTCCAGGTCAAATAATTCTAAATTCCAAATGAGCAGATTTTCCTGTTGGTTGTCAGCGCTCTACTTACTCTCTGATCTTCAGGACTCAGCTCAGACATCAGCATTTCCGTATTGTACGTGCTCCATTCCCAACTCCGGTTGACAAAATACTCCAGCATGGAAACGGTTTTTAAAAGCCGATTCATGACCTTTGTCATCCTGGGGTAAAGATCAGGTAGGAACAAATATCAGCACACTACTGATGGCTGATTTCCCTGTTACTCTATAGGATGTGTGACAAATTACTTTCGAGAAAATATAAAAAATTTCACTCTTCTCTTTCCCCCATTTCCTCATCAAAACACGTATTCTTTTTTCTCTTTCCACATTAACTCTGTTGAATGAAGGAAAGGGATGAATCTAAAGGAGTTTGTTCTATTAATCATTTTAAAACCACCAAACTCCTCCTCTTCCTCTTTACTACCTTAAGAGTAGCAAACATTTTAAAAACCCAGCCTGATACGAGAAAAGAACTTACTAGGTGATAACCCAGTTTCTAGCACTGTGCTGATACTTTAAAAAATTATCCCAGCTAGTTCTCATAGCATCTGTTAGGTAGGTATGTATCTACATTTTTTTTTTTTTTAAAGATTTTATTTGAGAGAGAGAGAATGAGAGAGAGCAAGCACATGAGAGGGGGGAGGGTCAGAGGGAGAAGCAGACTCCCTGCCGAGCAGGGAGCCCGATGCGGGACTCGATCCAGGGACTCCAGGATCATGACCTGAGCCGAAGGCAGTCGCTTAACCAACTGAGCCACCCAGGTGCCCGGTATGTATCTACATTTTATGAACAGGCAAAGTGAGCTTAAGATAGATTAAGTGTCCATGATAATATAAGCATCAAAAGGAAAATTCCAACCCAGTTTTGACCAACCTGAAAAAGCCTCTGCTTTTGTAATCTCACCACTCTGTGTCCTGTTACTTCCCATGGCTGGCATATTCCCATCCTGGGATCAGGACCTGGACCATCTCTACTGTGTGAACTTTCCAACTTTAAAGCAATTTATGGAAAACTTTCATAGTTGCTCTTATTTGATCCTCACAGGTAGTAAAGACCTATATTCTTTATCTTCATCTTACAGAAGGATTAACAGGTTCAAGGTCACACAGCGAGTGCATCAACCTAGATCTGGCTACAAATCACTTTGGCCTATAGAACATTTGGCCTTTAGAACATTTATCTCAGGCCAGTTTTAGCAGTAGTGATTACTGCAGTTGACCCAGTAATGACTTGTGATGCTATTTTGGGAATTTGGTCTTATTTCTGGTCAAATCCTAACACCCATATACCTAATGACTTAAGAGGGACTGCCCTCGTTGTATCATGGGAAATTCTTAGGCAGAAGGTAGACTCGTTATTCCCTGATACAAGCATCATAAAAGGGTTCCGTTCGGCTATTATCATCTTACATTTTTGCTATCGACTGAATATCCTTTCCAAATTCATAGATTTAAACCTATTTTCACCAATGTGATAGTATTTGGAGAAGACTTTGGGAGGTGATTAGTGCCCTTTATAAAAGAGACCCCAGAAATCTCTCCTGGCCCTTCCACGTGTGAGGACACAGAGATGGCTGTCTAGGAGCCAGAAAGCAGGCCCTCAGCAGATGCTGAATCTACCAGCACCGTGGTCTTAGACTGCCCAGTCTCAGAAATCAACTTCCGTTGTTTATAACCAACCCAGTCTATTAGATTGTTATAGCAGCCCAAATGGACGACAATCTTTATCCCTCCTACAACTCTGATGTCATTGATGTGATTTCAAGAAATTTATTTTAATTTTTAAAAAATAATCATTGTAGAATGATATCCTACATACAGGAATATATCAGCATAATAGTATTTTTTCTTAGAAAACATTTATTACTTTCAGATACCGAAGTTGTTCTTAACACATAAAATGTAAAACCCATAAAGGAAAAGAGTGATTCATTTTTTTTCACATAAAAATCTAAAACTTCTTCAGTAATGACAGTGATTATTATATTCTATGCTGTCTTACATAAAGCCTTATAAAATAGGTATGATTACTGCCCCTTTTTACAGGTGAGGCAGTTAGGTATTAGAGACAGTAATTTAGGGCTCATATAGCCCTTGACTTGGTAAAGCCATGATTCAAATGTGTAAGTCAGACTCTGAACTCCATCTCTTAAGAAAACCTACACTGTAGGTAGTCCTCTTGTATTAGAAAAAGCTTCATAATCAAAGCTATGAGATAAGAAATTGACTTGGAGAAAATACATTAAATACATATTTATTCACACAAATATGAGTTTCTGTAAGTTAATAAGGTCAACCCAATAGAAAAATAGGTGAGAAGCAGAGGCAGACAACTCACAGAGGAGAAACCTTGAATGTTCAATGAACAAATGAAAGCCCAGCCCCTCCAGCAATCAGGGGAATGCAAATCAAAGTAACAAAGAGATGACATTCATTGCCATTAGTTTGACAATTCAAAAGATTGATTTCGTTTTGCCAAGTATTGATGAGGGTAATTAAAAACGCATTTTTACCCCCCCATGCTGATGTGGTAGTGCAAAATGATAGAGCTTTCCTTTAGGGCAACCTAGCGGCAGTTGCAAAATCCAGATAGCCTCCAATCCAGCAGTCACACTCCTCAGCATCCTCCCCAGACCCAGTGGTATGTTCCAAAAAAAAATGCAGGTGCACTGATATTCATTACCCCATTGTAATAGGAAAAAACTAGGCAGAATGACTTAGATTTTCAAGGAAAATTAGTGAAAAAATTTGGAAAATACGTAAGCTTGATTTACACACACGCACGCACATACCTCAAAGCAAAACTATATTTATATATGTCTATATATGGTTGTAAATGCATAGATTACACACAAACATACCTGGGAAGGGAAAGAGTCTAAAAGAATTCTAGCATTTTCTGCCATAAAGATGATTCTTAAAATTCTTATAGAAACCTACCCATTTCCCACAAATACTACAATTTAATTTCTCAAAATTCATAAAGATTTTTATTGGCTCCCTTCCACCTTTTTTCTTTTCTACTTACAGAACTTTGCTCTTTATCCAGGTCTTCCAACCCTGATAAACTTTAAAGTTTTCAGCATTTCTGCCTGTAATGTTTGTTTTCCTTCTTTTCCCATCTTTATTTAATAAGCCCCATACAAATATTTTCCCCATAGCCACAGCATCTCCTTTTCACCTTGCTCAAGAAGAACCTGATTACTGAGTTATGAGCTCTAAATAAGTTCTCTGCAAATTTGGATAAATGCAACATTGCCCAAGTTTTAGCCATTTGCAATGCTAATAAATGCCGAGAGAGACTTCTTCCTATAAAGAGACTAGCATAGAAGGCAATGCTATTCATGCTTCCAATGCTTGCTTGCAGGGATTGCCTTTGGTAATTATAATAATGATGACTCTTCAGACGCAACAGAAAATTCTTCAAGTGAGACAGAGAGAAAGGGATAGGTCCTAAGTCACACAGCTAGATGGCGACAGAGCTGCCTCAGCATCAGCACATTTCATTCTACCTTGTTCCCCTTAATTTCTTTATTCACCTCTAGGTGGCAGTAACTCTAGCTCAGGTTTCTCCAGATCTTTCCTCTTTTCAACTTCTAGACTACTCTATATTCTTCCCTTAGCTTCTATTTCCTATTTGTAAAATTGGTGTAATGAGTACATCCTCTCTGGATTGTTGTGAGAATGAAAACGAGATCATCCTACATCATCCCGCGTGTGTGTGTGTGTGCGTTACCATTTTTTGTTTTTTTTTAAAGATTTTTTATTTATTTGAGAGAGAGAGAATGAGAGAAAGAGAGCATGAGAGGGAGGAGGGTCAGAGGAAGAAGCAGACTGGACTCCCTGCCGAGCAGGGAGCCCGATGCGGGACTCGATCCCGGGACTCCAGGATCATGACCTGAGCCGAAGGCAGTCACTTAACCAATTGAGCCACCCAGGCGCCCTGTGTTACCGTTTTTAAAATTACCTAACAGTTTAGAAAACCCCAGACTTACAGTCTCACTTGCTTTGCTTTTTGGGTGGATGATTACTTGCTGAATTCACCAAGCAAGTTTCTCAACATTTAACTTCCTTTATTATGATAGAGGATTTTTAAGGTAGGGGTCCCTTTGGGGATTCTCATTACTACTGCTTCAGTTGACCCCAAATTTATGTAAGATTCAGTTGTCACCTTCAAGCCCCAGATGAAAAGAGGGCTAAGGACTTCGGGGGCCCTAATCTTCCATGCAACAACGCTCTTAAAGCAACTGACCCGGCTTCTCACCTGGGCTTCCTTCCTGTGAGCCGCAGATAGAAGTCATAGATGATGGCAGGGGCCCGGTGGCTGACTGCATTCCAGTACTGGCTTGTGATGGTGTTGGTTGTGAAGTCTGCATTTGGCCTCCTAAAAGCTCTCTCAAATGGGACTTTTTCAAAGGTTGCCAAGACTTGGAATCCTGGGGAAAAAAATAGAGTACAAGTCTGGGAGCATATAAGCCCACTGTAGTGGAGGGCATTTGCAATGGGTCAAAATGATAAAGACCAGTGATTGGCTGTGTAGAGTCAAGAATCAATCTCTGAGAACAATATTAAGATATTTATGCCAGGCAAGAGGTCACCTACAAAATCAAATAACGAGAATGGGTTCTGAATTGGGTCCTTTTCCTGAAACCTTTATCTAAAACAACTTCTTGGGGAAATAGTTTCAGTCAATACAGTGAAGTATTGTTCAGAAAAACTTAAAATCCATCATTTGGTTCCCAGGTTATCTAGTCTATTCTGAAAGCCTCAAGACAGAGCCTGAGGGCCTTATTTCCTAGGTTGGATCATTAGTTGTAGAACCATCAGTAAAGTTTCTTCTTATTTACTTAAACCTTTATAAAGGGCTACTTAAAGCTTCATAAAGGTTTAAGTGAAAAAGAGAATATTAAGGCAGGATTCCCTTGTGTTGGTTCACTTTAGATACTGGTCTTTTACTTCTTTGGTATTTCTGCTTCTCTGGGACTATCCCAGACTCCATTGTCCATCCACTCTTGTCTCCAAATTTTTTCCACAATATTTTTAATATTATTATGTAAATTATGTAGATAAAACCTAGATAAAAGTTTAGAAACTTTTAATGTACATTTGTAAAATAATTCTTTTCAAATGATATTAATTCCAATTCAATGTTCATTTTATCTATGTAAAATTTTCAAAGAATGTACCTAAGTTCATTATTCAATTATGATGAAGATATCAGTTATTATGGTAATATTGTCCTCTTTAAAGTATATTACTTGGAAATCTATATAAAATCTATACAGAAGAGATTCTCAAGAAACATCTGACCTAGGAATCTCTTTTTCCTCCCAGAGGGATTCATATTCACTTTTAAGAATCACTACTGGAATGGGTACTGCACAGAGGCCAGAGACCTGTCTTCTACTTCTGTTTGAGGTACGAGCCCTCCATATGAATTTGAATAGATCTTTTACTCTCTCGGGGCCTCATATATAAAATAAAGCAAGGCCACTAGATTATTTTTAAGATTACTTTCAACTATGACATTGTATAATTTGATAAACAGATAATAGGTTTTGGCGTGGAAGAAGAATTTTGAATTTCAGAAATGGAATTTACATGTAGCATCTTTTTATTTAAGAGCTTAACATATCTTCTTTGCTTCTATTAATGCTTGTTTTTTAATCCTGTTACTGAGGTAGAGGAGATTTATTTTTATTTCCAAATGTTTTCAGAATTATTTAGATATATGATCTAAATAACTGGATATATGATCTAAAGAACTTTGATGGCAGTAATTTCATTTTTATTGAAGTAACAACTTTACAAATAGAATAGCATAGCAGAGTGCTCTGAAATGGAAATCAGATTCTAACAAATTAAGTACATGTGATCTTTTTTAATATCTAGTACCTAAATAAAACTAGATGATCTCAAAGTTTCAGATATTTGCAGAAAACCAACTCCTAAATTGACAAAGAGTACAAGATTGGTTAGCTAATTTTCAGTTACATGCAGGATTAATTACTTCCATTCAGCAAGAACTTTCGAGGTTACACTTATGGCTCACTGTATAAATCGATGAAGAGTATCACTGACTCAATAACAAAAGGTAGCATTATTGAACTCTTCTAAATCTACTTGGTTATTGATGATCTCACAGTTGCAGTGATGTAGCCAGGGGACAAGGGACGTGTGTGTGTGTGAGCAGCCCCTGCCTCAGCACGAGGAGCATTTCCTCACTGACGTTACTTATAACTGCTGACTTTTACTTGGTTTTATCTATTTTTAAAATCTTTATAGCCAGTGGACCCCTTATTGCTTACAATCATGCACATTATTCCCACTTACCCCCTTTCTTTGATGCTCCACAGCACATTCTAGTTAACTCTTACACATTCATTATCCAAATTATTTTATCTTTTACTTATTTTTTGTCTTTTTCTCCCATTAGACTCTAAGCTCCAAGACACATTTTGTCACATTTTCCCCCTGTGGTAGACACTAAAACTGTGCGGGCAGATGCTAATAGTTATGTAGTTACATCTCTACAGGCACTTACCCATTTTTCTCCAATTACAAGGATTGAGGTTACCAGATGTACAGTGGTAGATTAATGTTGACTTAGGTCTGGAAAATGAAATAAAAATTAAATAAATACAACAAAATGGAGGACAAATGAAAGATAGGGAAAAACAACATGTAGGCAAGGATGTTTCAATAATTCCTATAACTAGGTCAACACTCCATCTTCTGTTCCTTCTTTGGGTAAAAATGCAAAATGGAAGAAGACGAGGAAAGTGTTTGTGCATGTGCATCTGAAAGAGGGCTCAAATAAGTTGATGTATTTAGGGAGCAAATGGAGGTACCATGACAATGAGAAAGTAGATCATATTGTTAACTTCTAGACATGTTTATTGGGAAAAATATAGGCTATGTTTTCTTCTAAGTCCAGTTCAGCCCTGCTGGATTGGAAAACAACTAAATGGCTGACTTCAAATAAGAAAAATTTAATTCTGTTTGTCATTTACAAACAGAGTCAAATATACAAACAACTTTTTTTTTTTTTTGTACTAGGAAATAGAGCCCCCCCCCCCCCCCATGGAGATCTGAACTTTTGGCATATATCAGGAAATGAGCAGCTGTATAAAATATAAAAGATGCCCTTATTTCACCCACTTTTATCTCCTTTGCCTTAAAAAAGGGAGCTGTATTTTAGATTACTGAATAGAAAGAAAAGCTTTTTTGGGTTAGAATTTTAAGGTTAAATGATTTAGAGTTTGTTACTTTATACAAAATACGAAGCAGTATTTATAAAATACCTCCATGCATACGTGATGGCATATTTGGAACTATGTAAAATATTGAGACCGATTCTCTCTGATATTTGGGGTCTTCTACAATCAAATGTGTATATTTTGAAACTAAGCCTAACATATTCACCCTCCTCCTCATCAAATCTTTGAAAGCTGGCTTCCACATGCGCACCTGTGAACAGCTGTGTACCATCCCACAGCCAAGGTGAGATTGACGACTGTATCAACGGGAATTAAATCTGCCACAGCCATCGGAGTAGCTCTTAAGGACCGAAGAAACCCTTTGCCAGCCTGCGAGGAAAAAGAACATTAAACACTGAACCAAGTTTTAAGTAACAGCTGGGGCTAATACTAATGCTGCTCGAAATAATAGTTAACACTGACTCGCTGCTTACTAGGTTATCGGGCTAAGGCTGACTTCTCTCAGCCTATCCAACCCCCCAGCCAAGTCCATCTCAAATGACAGCATTTCCATAGAGGTCCTCGGGTTCTGTTAGGGAGTGGAGTTCCTCAAATTTGTGAGAGGTTAATATGTTTAGTTAATTAACAAACACCAAGAATAGTTTTTTACATTTAAAAATTAATTCATAAGATATCTTAAAAACTAAGGTTTCCCACATTTCCCATTAATATTAGTTTATTTATTTATTTATTTATTTATTTATTTATTTATTTATTTGAGATAGAAGAAGAAAGAACGAGCAGGAGGGAGAGGGAGAAGCAGGCTTCCCCCCGAGGAGGGAGCCCGATGTGGGACTCGATCCCAGGACCCTGGGATCATGACCTGAGCCGAAGGCAGACGTTTAATGACTGAGCCACCCAGGCGCCCTAAAGAAACAAATTCTAAGAACACATCAGAACATAGGCATGCACTAAGATGATACGTCACATGGCTGGGACCAGCTGTTGTCATTGATGTTGGTGTGCATGGAAAGGGTAACACTTAGAGGCTTTACCAAGCTTGGTGAGTTAGCTTATCTTAGAAAATGTTGGTTTTAGGGCACCTGGGTGGCTCAGTCAGTTGAGCATCTGACTCTTGGTTTCAGCACAATCTCAGGGCCAGGCTCCACAGTCAGCAGGGAGTCTGCTTGAGGTTCTCTCTCTCCCTCTTCCTTTGTGCTCTCTCCCCCAGATCAGGCTCACACACTCTCTCAAAAATAAATAAATAAATAAATAAATAAATAAATAAATAAATAAATAAATATTTTTAAGAAAACGCTGGTTTCATAGATTTCTAAGAACACAACTGCAAAAGAAGTTGCAGTGCTCTGTAAATGGCTTGCCTCTACTATTCATGGCTCTGCTTGTTTTCCACTGAATTATCTTCTCGATTCCTCAGTTTTTACTGATGAAAAATGGTGATCATTATAGCTGTTCTTATTTTCAGGTTATCATGAGAACAAACAGGAATATTCACAACTGCACTTAAAGCTATTTGATAGAGAAAATGTGCCAATAAACCGAAGGCATTTTTATGTTTGGTAAAACAACCAACAGGCATGTATCTACAAAAGTAATAGTTGGTTATCTTTTCTGCTGCAGGCAAACAGCCCTGGGCCCACCTCATCCAGCCACTTCCTGGGTTCAAAGAGGACATTGGTGTAAGAAGCACACACATGCACTGCTTAAGTGATACCCTTTTGGGGACCTATAATCAGTTCATGCTTTTGTTTACCAAAGTGTGATTTGCTTCTGTTTGTTCTGTTTGTTTTAAAAACAGTAAATAAGTTGGCATGGAAAAAAGACACTCTATAAATTAAAGTACATTTCTAAAATTAAACAAATGCTCTTCGGGTTACCTGAGATGTTTTGAACCCATAGGTCCCAGGTTCTAAACTTCTACTTACATTGCTTCAAAAGAAGCAAAAAGTTAGTGAAGATTTCAGAAAGCAATGTACACACAATTTCCTGTAAATATTACTATCTTTTTCTGGGGGGGGGTGCTGAAACTTACAGAATCAACCTCCTAATATCATTAAAAATTTCATAATTTTGGTATTTACTAAATGAAACAGCAAGAGGAGTGTGTATTTTTCATCCTAGTTTTCTTAGGCAACAAGCAGGGCAAGACTAGTGGTGTATCAGGTGAAGCTTTCTGCAGAGTAAGTACTGGACATTCCGCTTCATGGTCATGTTTGCTCTCTCCTTCTCTCATCTGAATTAGGTTCTTCCCTTGATTCTTGCAGGTACTTGCTCATGTGTCAGTTTCCCCATTTTATAATGAGTCCCAGAGAGTAGGGATTATGTTTCTTCTCTCCGTGTCCAATCACTTTCTGCACCTAGGCATCTGCTCCCTTATTCAGTCCGTGAGGGCTCTCCCACACCACAGTCTTGATTGGCCGTCTGTGTTCTGAGTAATGTTTTGGGAAGTTGAGATGGTCACTGGCAGGAGAGCCCGGGTGAACTCAGGAGGAGGTGGGGTTGGAGGGAGACTGTGGGAAAGAAGGAAGGAAGGAAGGAAGGAAGAGAGGGAGGGAGGAAGGGAAGGAGGGAGGGAAGGGATGTGTTTGTAGAGAATGAAGCAAAATTGGAAGTTAAAATATCCAGTTGGCAGTGATGACAAGTGTTGAGAAGCTGAAAGGCTGTTAACTAATTTCAACATGGCAGAGTTGCCTTCAGAGTAAATTTAAACTTTTTACTGGGGAGAAGGGTAAACCTGTGCCTAGTGCTCGTCATGAACTGGCCTCTGCATTTCCCTCTAGACTTCTACTGAGCACCTATTCTGGCCTCCAATGGCCTGATAATGTGAAAATTATTCAGTCTGTCTAGGAAACAGTCTTACTCGGCTCTGACTTGTATTTAAAGCCCGATAACATTAAAAGTACACAGAATTTTCTGTTTGTCAGCAGCTTAGATGCCATCTTAAGCCTATACAATCCTGACAGTAAATCCACAAATATCAAAATGAGTATTTTCCTTTCCCCTGGAATAGATACACTTTCTTAGTATTAACAACATGTTCATCAGCACCTGGGCAAGACTATTTTCCAACATCTGACTTCCTTTCCTATTTCTGCCGCAGCTGACTGCTGTCAGTGTTTGATCAAAAACACCTTTTCTTGGTGGAGAAGAGAAATATGGTGGAGGACTAGGGGACCCTATTCCAACCAGTCCCCGGAATTGAGCTGGATATCTACCAGAACACTCTGAACACCAATGAAATCAGCCTGAGATGTAAGAAGATAGATCTGGATCTCTACAGACAGAATATGGCAGGTGGTTGGTTTCAAGATATGAAGCAGGGAGCCTTGATTCAGTGGGCAGATATCAGAATATAAATGGAAGGCAGAGGGAGCTGTGGTGATCCTACACCAATGGTGAGTGATAGCCTCCTGCGCTGGAGACAGGGAAAAGACTCGCAGACTGGTAGCGGCGGGGAAAGGACTTTAGGTCAGCCCCCCTGACTAAAACCTGGACTGGGGGCGGCTGGCGGCTTTAGAAGCACAAAGGGCAGAGATGTGCCCCTGTGCCTTGACCTGGAGGCGAGGACTGGGAGTGCTGCTGAGGGGCACACAACCCAGGACACTACAGTTTATAGCAGCACAGACAGAAACGGAGATAGTGTGGTCTGGAGAGCTCACTGAAGAGCAGACTGCGATCTCTCTGCTCTAAGGCAGAGGGTTGGAAATGATCTCTTCTGCTCTGACTCTTGGAAGAGATGTGGAAAGCCACCAGGGAAAGCCGCCAGAGAACAAAAGCCCCCCAAAAACCAGTTTTCACTGAGCCCATCCCTCCCCCACAGCAGGCAGGGCAACTCTGCCCAAACAGGGTTGCCTGAGTAAAAGCGCCGCAGGCCCCTCCCCCAGAAGACAGGCTGGGAGAACAAGAGGCTGACAACCCTAAGGTCCCTATAAAACAGGTGCATCTTGCTTGGATTGTGGTTGATAATTTGGACTCTGTACATTCCCTCAATTATCCCTCAACAGAATGACTAGGAGGTGGAACCCCCAAAACAGGAAAAACTCAGAGACTGTGACATCTGCCACAGATTTACAAATGGATACAGATATAACCAAGATGTCGGAAATGGACTTCAGGGTAGGAGTTCTGAAGACAATAGCTAGAATGGAGAAATCGATTAATGGCAACATCGAGTCTCTAAGGGCAGAAATGAAAGCTGAACTGGCAGAACTTAAAATGCTATCAATGCGATCCAATCTAATCTAGATAATCTAACAGCTAGGGTAAGCAAGGCAGAAGAACGAATTAGTGATCTAGAAGACCAATTGATAGAAAAGAAGGAGAAAGAGGAGGCCAGGGAGAAACAACTCAAAATCCATGAAAACAGAATCAGAGAAATAAGTGACACCATGAAA